CATCCTGATACGGCCGATATCTTTCCTTGTTCGGTCTCGAATCTTTGTAGTTTTCCCTACGAGGTCGATCGAAATTCCTATGTGTGGATGGTGAATCCGAACTTGCTCCGCTGTGGTCGTCCTCTACCCTTATCTTCGATTGGTACCGGTTATGGATGTCTGCCCACGTAACTGCTGGAAACTCGATCAGACTTTGCTTTAATTGCCTGGATGCGGCTGAGCTGTTGGCGTTCAATCCTTGAGTGAAGGCTTGTACTGCCCAGTCATCCGTGACTGGGGGAAGATCCATCCTCTCCATTTGAAATCGAGACACAAATTCCCGGAGTGTCTCGTTTATGCGCTGTCGGACCTTGAATAGGTCGGATTTCCTTGTTTCTACCCTGATCGCCCCGGCGTGAGCTTTCACGAAGGCATCGGCTAACATGGCGAACGAATCGATGGAATTTGGCGGTAAGTTATGATACCACGTCATTGCCCCCTTGGACAAGGTTTCTCCAAACTTTTTCAACAAAACTGACTCGATTTCATCATCTTCGAGATCGTTTCCCTTAATCGCGCATGTGTATGCTGTCACATGCTCGTTTGGGTCCGAGGTCCCATTATACTTCGGGATATCGGGCATTCTAAATTTCTTAGGGATAGGTTTTGGGGCGGCACTGGATGGGAACGGTTTTTGTACAAACTTTTTAGCGTCAAGGCCTTTCAGGACCGGAGGTGCACCTGGTATTTGGTCGACCCTGGAGTTGTATGTTTCTACTTTTTTATTGTTGGCCTCGATCTTTTCCTCCCCCTTTTCGATTCGTTCGGTCAATTCTTCTAGCCTCCTAAGAACCGCAGAATCAGCATCCGGCCCACCCCGTTCCGGCTGTACTGGGGTCGGATTGATGATTGCAGCTGCACGGGGAGCCTCCTCGGACCTGACAGGCTCCTGGACCCGGCTCTGGAGCTGAGCTATAGCCGATTGCTGGGCTTGCAGCATGTCAAAAATCATTTTAAGGTTGATAGTCTCTTCGCCGACTGCCTGGGCCCTCGAATCGTCCTCTCCCCGGACGCTATGTGATGATCCGGAGGCCTGATCAGTGTTGAGCGCCATCCGGGAATCGGCATCTATCGGGTTTTCGAGCCCGGGCATTCCATTGTTTCCTGTCTGCTGTTCAAGTTCGTTGTTGATTGATTGTGTCATTCTATGAGTTGGTAATTTGAATGTAAGATGAACTCTTTTGCAAAGAACTAGTGTACTGTGATGCGTCAAGAAAGAGTATCAAAGAGCTCACTAATATCCTTAGCCCCACGGTGGGCGCCAAACTGTTTACCCTGGAATCCGGATAACAATTGAATTTATATGGGGTTTTAAGGATCCGTGAACTAAAAGATACAAAAGGTTTGGATTGAGGAAAATAAAAGATAAAGACTCAACAATTGCTGCTAAAGTAAATAATCGCAGAATATAATATTGCTTAGAACAATTGTGCTTGATAGCGTACAAGAATTGAGAGAGATGGTACCCTAGTGTAATGGTTTCAGATCCCCTCTTTATGGGGTCTTCTCCCCTTTTATACATTCTGATTAAGGGTAAAAATAAGGTAGGTAAATTAATTACATCGTGGATCCCTGTAATTACGCCTTAATGGCCTGAAGTGGTTGAGAAAATCACGTTTGGGCGAGATATCCGGCGACGCTTGGTTATCCGTTACGAGTCCGGCTTCCGACCTTGTGTGTTTCTCCATCCGGTGGTGACTCATATCGATCTCTGCAACGGTCTCGAAATGACTCGACCTCGGTTGTTGACGTGGCCGTCGTTCTACCTTACATCCAGGTCGGGTTCGATGGCCCCGACTTGCCCCGGACCGGACCCAACCCGGTCGGGCTCAAGCAAAAAGGGTATCACCCAATACAAACATACGCCAGAATAACACTGCTATATAAACTTTACACAGTTGCATCACGACATCAGAGAGGTAGAGTCAATATTTCAATCTTATGGGTTCGGGATTCTAATCGTTTAAGTTAGTTGGTTCTAAATTAATAATTTATACATGTTCAATGAATTTTTTAAGACAAATACTGATAGAAAACTGAGCAGAAAAAGATGAAGATTTATAAGTGAAAAATAAAGCAGATCGAGAAAGAGGCAATAGACGTGAAAAAGAAATTGCTTGACTGATTGACTACAATGCTGCAACTGCAGTCTTTTTATAACAGAAAAAACATAGCAAACTTAAGCTAAAAATTAGGAACTACCCCACAAAGTTTTCTCCTAAAAACTAGATAACAAAAACCACTTTAAACTACTTCCTAAGGACTAGGACAAACCTAAAAAGTAGGAGTTTTATTTACTAACACCCTCCCTTAAACTGAAAGCTTTCGAGCTTCAGTTTATCTTCAATTTCTTGAGTTCTTCCATGGTGCAAAGTCCCAGCAATCTTCCTAAATTTTGGAAAGAAAGTAACTTGAGAGGTTTAGTGAAAATATCCGCCAACTGGTCTTCACTCCGGCAATATGTTAGCTCTATTGTTCCTTCATTGTTGAGATCTCGTAAGAAATAGTACTTCACGTCAATGTGTTTGCTTCTTCCATGTAGCACCGGATTCTTTGACAACTTGATGGCAGAGTTGTTGTCACAGAAAATTGTAGTTGCTTTTTCTTGTTTGAATTTCAGTTCTTCAAGAATTCTCCTTAACCAAACAGCTTGACAAGCACAAGTTGTAGCAGCAACAAATTCAGCTTCGGTACTTGACAAAGTGACAATTGATTGCTTCTTAGAAGACCACGAAACAGCCCCCGTACCTAACATAAAAACATAACCTGAAGTGCTCCTTCTGTCGTCTTGATCTCTTGCATAATCACTGTCAGTAAAACCAATCAAATCAGATTTTTCACCCTTCTTGTAGAACAAAACAAAATCCTTAGTTCCCTGTAAGTAGCGAAGGATTCTCTTAGCAGCTAGCAGGTGAATTTCAGTTGGGCTCTCCATGTATCTGCTTATGAGACTTACAGCATATATGATGTCGGGCCTTGTAGCAGTAAGATACATCAAACTACCTACAATTTGCTTGTAGAATATGCTGTCCATCTTCTTTCCACTTCCAACTTTGCATAGCTTCAAATCAAACTCAATTGGAGTGTTGGCTGGATTGCAATTATGCATCTTGAACCTGTCCAAAATTTCTCGCACATACTTCTTTTGGGAAACAAATATTCCATCATCAGATTGTACTACTTCTAATCCAAGAAAGTAATGCATCTTACCAAGATCGGACATTTCAAACTCATCCATCATAGACTTCTTGAAATCGGCAAACATGATACTATCATTCCCAGTAAATATAAGATCATCGACATATAAACACACAATGAGTATTTTTCCAAATTCTCCAGTTTTAACAAAAAGAGAGTGTTCATATGGACATTTCAGAAAACCAACTTTTAGAAAGTATGCCTCAATACGATTATACCAAGCTCGCGGAGCTTATTTTAGTCCGTAAAGAGCCTTTTTCAACTTGTACACCTTATGCTCATTTCCAATTTTTATATAACCAGGAGGTTGTTCTACAAATACATGTTCTTCCAAGTGCCCATACAAAAATGCCGATTTGATATCTAATTGAAAAATATGCCAAGAATTCTGTGCCGCTAATGCAATCACCAATCTGATTGTATCGTGTCTTGCAACCGGAGCAAATACTTCTGTGTAGTCAATTCCATATTCTTGTTTGTATCCTTTAGCCACTAAGCGTGCCTTATACTTGCCAACTTCACCATCTTCATTCAGCTTTGTCTTGAATACCCACTTCACACCAATAGTTTTGTGCCCTTTTGGAAGATCTGATAGCTCCCAGGTGCCATTTCTTTCAATAGCATCAATTTCATCATCCATAGCTTTCCTCCATTTATCCTCTTTGATAGCATTTTCAAAAGTTGTAGGATCACTATCTGCAAACAATGCAAAGTAGAAAAAATCATCTTCATTTACATCAATTCCTGTTACCTCATAATCCATCATCCACACGGGCCTTTTGCGAGCACGACGAAGAAACTCATCTGGTGCATCAATTTCTTCCAAAGCTGAGGGTGAAATTTCAGCAGCTGCTGGATTAGAATTTTCAGAATTTTCGGGTATTATTGCTGCTTCTTCGACTTCATTATCAATTAAGATTGGAATAGACTGATGCATATTCCAATCCCAAGAGTTTTCTTCATCAAAAATAACATCTCTGCTGGTCACAACCTTCTTTGTCAATGGATTGAACAACTTGTACGCCTTGGATGCCTCGCTAACACCAAGAAAGACACACTTCTCGCTTTTGTCATCAAGCTTCTTCCTCTTCTCGTCTGGGATATGTGCATAGCTAACGCAACCAAAAATTTTAAAATGATCTACAACAGGTTTCCTTCCACTCCATGCCTCCTCTGGAGTCATGTTTTGAACAGCAAATGTTGGACTTCTATTCAAAATATGAATACTCCAATTTACTGCTTCTGGCCAGAATGTCTTTGGAACTTTTCCTCGAGCTAGCAAGCTTCGAACCATGTTGAGAATGGTTTTATTCTTCCTCTCCGATACACCATTTTGTTGTGGTGTATACGTCGTTGTGAGCTCTTTTCGAATGCCATGAGTCCTACAAAATTCTTCAAATGCCTTAGAGCAATATTCGCCTCCACGGTCTGTTCGGAAGCTCTTGATGGTCTTTCCTGTCTCATTCTCCACATTAGCTTTGAAGCTTTTAAATACATTAAAAGCCTCTGATTTTTTCCGCGGAAAATACACCCAAGTCTTTCTAGAATAATCGTCAATGAAGGTAATAAAATACCTTTTGCCTCTATTAGAGATTGGTCTTATTGGCCCACATATGTCAGAGTGAACCAACTCAAAAAACATGCTTTGCTAGCCATGATTTGCCTTTCGGGAATTGAGATCGGTGTTGTTTGCCAACAACACATTGTTCACAAATTTGAGTAGGAGCAGTAATTTGAGGAAGACCTGTGACCATGTTCTTCTCCTAAAGTGTCTTCAATCCTCCAAAACTCAAATGACCATAACAAAAATGCCACAACCATGAGGGATCCTTCACTTCCGTCATCAAACAAGATTGAATATTATCAATCTTTATCGGAAATAATCTGTTGGAACTCATCTGAACTATTGCTATAGCTCCTCTCACGGGGTCATAAATTTCACACTCACCCTTCTTAATAATGATGACATAAACTTTCTCTTGCAACTGACCAACACTCAGTAAGTTGCTTTTCAAATCAGGAACATATAACACATTAGAGATTGTTTCCACAAAACCATTCTTGGTTTTGATCTTGATGTCACCTTTTCCCGTTGCATCCACAGTAGAACAATCACCAAAACTAACTTTACAACGGAAGCCTTCTTTTAAGTAAGAAAAACAAGACTTACTTCCAGTCATGTGATTAGTGTAGCCTGTGTCTAAATACCAAACATCTCGCTCGGTTTCCTTCTCTACTTAAATTGCCATCAACAAGGTCTCACCTTCCTTGTTCTCCGCGTAATTGGACTTCTCTTCCTTTTCTTTATCATTAGGCAGCCTAGTATAACATTCAGATGCGTAATGACCAAATTTATGACATCTATAGCACTCTATCTTGGATTTGTCATAATCTCGACCTCTACCTTTGCCTTGAGATTGATCATTATTTGCTTTGAAATTCCTACAGGAATCTCTACCTCCATGATCTCCTCTTCTTCTGCCTCTACCTCTACCTCTACCCGTTCCTCTGGAATTGGAAGAAGAAATAAAAGTAGAAGCCTTCAAAGCCTACTAATCGGAAGTTGAACTACGGTTCATCTTCTGCTCATACACCAATAAGGAGCTCTGCAATTCGTCAAGTGATAAGACATCTATGTCTTTTGACTCCTCAATGGAGCAAACGACATAATCATACTTTCGTGTCAGAGAGCGCAATATCTTTTCCACTATTACGACGTCGCCCATGTTCTCACCATGGAATCGCATCTTGTTGTATATCTCCATGGTTCTAGCACAGTAGTTGGTGACGAATTCTCCTTCCTTCATCTGCAAGGTTTCAAAGTCCCTCCTCAAGGCTTGAAGCTGTGCTCGCTTCACTATTGTAGAGCATTGATACTTTTTCTTCATGGAATCCCATATATCCTTGGAAGTTTCTTTGCAAAGAATGGTTTCCAAGATGGGACGTTCAATAGCCTGAAAGAGATAATTTTTTGCCTTTAAATCTTTCAACTTTCTTGCTTCAAACTCAGTCTTTTGAGCATCCGTCAAAGTTTTGCCTACTGCTGGTGCTTTAATGCCGTCTTCAACAATTGGCCAATACTCTTTTGACCGTATAAAATTCTCCATCAGCATACTCCAGTGGTCATAGTGACCATCAAAACGGGGAATAGCTGCTTGCACAAAATTGTTCTCTGAAGCCATAGATGAAGAACAATTTTTTTTTTGTTTTTGGGTAAACTCTCTCTCTCACAGGTTTATCTTTTTTCTGGATCTAACCTTGCTCTGATACCACTGATAGAAAACTGATCAGAAAAGGATGAAGATTTATAAGTGAAAAATAGAGCAGAGAAAGAGGCAATAGACGTGAAAAAGAAATTGCTTGACTGTTTGACTACAATGCTGCAACTGCAGTCTTTTTATAACAGAAAAAATATAGCAAACTTAAGCTAAAAATTAGGAACTACCCCACAAAGTTTTCTCCTAAAAACTAGATAACAAAAACCACGTTAAACTACTTCCTAAGGACTAGGACAAACCTAAAAAGTAGGAGTTTTATTTACTAACAAATGCAATATTCGAACCAAAGCTACTAGGTTTGGCCGAATCCACTCCCGACACTCTAGCTCCGTCCCTGCCAGACATCAATTATAAATTAATATAGATAATATAAAGTGATCAAATATATATTGACTCTTTAAATTATTCATACTACAAATACTGTTCAAGCTTCTCTTTTTTTCCCATTTTAATTTTCGTTTGCTGTCCACCAACTAGGGCTGGCATATATCGAGTAAAACCGATAGCCCGATCCGAAAAAACTTATTGGATTATCGGTATCGGGTTATTGGGTTAACAGTTCGGTAACGGTTTAGTGTTATTTTACTATTGGGTTATCGGTTCGGGTCTCGGTTTGCTCATTTTTATTAACGGTTTAACCGATAACCCAATAAACTTTACAAAAATATGATTTTACCCTTGGGTATATAAATTTTCCAGTTATCCCAATTCTCTATCTACTGTTATAATCCTCCCAAATTTGTCATTCAACACATAGAGAAACAATGTTGTAAGGTTTATCATATTCTTTGAAAGGGTTACAACACTCGAGAAAATTTATATATTCTTTATACAGTACACATTATACCTCATTACTTCTTTCCTCTAGAATCTAGATTGAGTTATCTTATCGGGTAAACCGATAACCGAACCGATAATGATCGATTACCGATTAACCGATAGCCGATAATCGATATCTTATCGGTTTGGTTATTGGGTTAGGATATTTATAAACCGATAACCGATATGCCAAATCGATAATATTCACAACCGAACCGAACCGAACCGACCGATGCCCACCCCTACCACCAACTAAGCATCTAATTAGAAAAAAGAATAGACTTTAACGTTGTCTTTTTTAGTTTATATTTTAAAATAATTAAGTAGGAACATGAGTTCGTTTATCAGAAAATAAACTAGCCTCGTATAAATATGTTAGTTATGTGACTCACATAGTAAAATTTCTCTAAGAGTATAAGTTAGTATAAGTTTCATCTCTTCATCATCTATCTTTTATTATATAAATATCTCGTTTAATTAAAACTTCATAAATTAAAAAATAAGAGTAAATTTGAATAAAATACTTAAGAATTCATTTATAAAACGTTAAATAATTTAAAATAAATTTAATTCACCAAGCGATTAATATTTGAAATTCGATGGAGTGATATTTATAAATATTTTCTGGGTGGCGGCAAATGCTACACAGGTGACAGTGGCAGTAAATGCACGAGCCACCGAGTCATCTCTGTTTTTTCTTTTTCCCTTCTTCGTTTGTCTCGATTTGGTGCCTCTAGGTGAACCTACAGTTACTATGTCCCTCAAATCTATATATATATATATATATATATATATATATATATATATATATATATATATATAAATTTAAAAACTACCATCTTTCTCTCTCTATATATATATATTAATTGGTTACTTTATGAGAATAATAAATATAGATATCTTATAATTACTTATAATAATAAAAACAAAAATATAAAATTATAAAATAAATATTTCATTTTTTTAGGGGTGTGAAAAATTCAAAATGGACAACTACAATTGGACGGAGGGAGTAGTTTAATACTAGAATTTGTAAGATTGGATTCTTATTTCCTCCTCGTAATTCCAATGTAAGGGGGAAAAAGTTAAAAAGAAAAGAAAAAAACTAATCAAAGCAATACTAGTACTAGGTACCATATTTGGTCAATAGGACCAGCCCCATGGAATATCAAAGATTAGTTTATCGATAATCAACTGCTTTGACTAAAACACGTCATATTTTTGACACCATAATTACAAAGAAACCCATTAGAAAAACAAAACAAAAAACCATCATGTGCTTTATTATGTTATAGGTTTACAGCGAACTTAGTTCCCCTAATGAATGAAAATCGACTGCACTGCCTCTCCTCTCCACTAGCTAACATTAGCAATTTGCAGATTTCAAGATGAATTTGCATATATGACCATTAACTAAAGGGGAAATTTCATATTAAAGGAAACTTAGAGATTACTCCTAATAAAATATAGTCCAGTCCAGTCCATTAATAGTAAACACTAGTATTATTAAGGTTTCATCAGAAAGTCTGATTTTTCTAAGAACTTCATCAGGTACCTACTCATTTCTCTACTTTTAGCAAGCTTGTTATTTTTTTTCCCTTCGTTGAACATTAATTAATCTTGATGACCCAAATAAGAAAGATTGGATTTTGAATTCTCCAGTCTATTTTTTGTTGTTATTTTTCGTTTTACTTCTGTGGTCTTGATTTGGGGTGTATTTTCCAGATAGTAAAGGCAAACAATTCTTGTTTCCTCGGCTGAAACAGTTTTGTTTATATGTGACTTTTCTTTTGGAATTTCAGCTGCTTTTGTTTTGTTTTATCTTTCATATTTGCAGGTAAAATAGGAGCATTGGTTTCCTATGCAGTGTAAGAGCAGAAATTTGCGGTAGAAGAACAAACTTTACCGGTTTGAACAGCTGAATTAACCAATTTTTGTTCTGAGAAGTTTTAGTTGGACGCATGGGTGTGGGTTTATGGGAGTATTGATGTTAGATTTGATGAAATAAGCAGAAATTACCTGGAAATGTCTGAAAGTTCTTGAAAAAGATACTGGTTTTGTGGATAGGTTACTGTATATAACAAAATGTCTCTGATTCCTGATAAAAGCATGTTACCTTCAAGGTCTCTGTCCTGTCTAATAGCCATTTCTGTTTTCCTTTTGATAATTTCTTCACTTTCCCTTCTTCAATTTGCTGACAATTCTTTCATACCCAAATCAGTTTTTAGTTTCATTCTTGTTAATACTACTTCCGTTTACTTGACTTCAAGTGGAGAATCTAAAGCTCCTTTCTTGCCTATTGAAACTTCACATGAACAAATCCTGAAAAGCCAAGAATTAGCTTGTCAAACTTCCAGTTTCAGCAATGATTCTGTTGGATTCGGAGTTGGGAAAACTTGTGGCTCGGAACGAGCTCTTCTTAAAGTGTATATGTATGACTTACCTCCTGAATTTCATTTTGGGCTATTAGGTTGGAAAGTAAGTAGGGACGACGAAACATGGCCTAGTGTTAGTAACCCGAGCCAAATACCCTCGTACCCTGGTGGCCTAAATTTACAGCACAGCATTGAGTATTGGCTTACTCTTGATCTTCTATCCTCAAACAACCCAAATATCAATAGACCATGCACTGCGGTTAGAGTGCTGAATTCCGGTGAAGCGGATGTGATCTTTGTGCCATTTTTTTCGTCTTTGAGTTACAATAGGCATTCTAAGGTTCAAGGGAAGGAAACAATCAGTCTCAATAGAATGCTGCAGGATAAAGTGGTGGACTTTTTAAAAAGTAGAGATGAGTGGAAGCGAAGGGGTGGAAAGGATCATGTCATTGTTGCTCACCACCCCAATAGTATGTTTGATGCAAGAGAGAAGCTTGGTTCTGCCATGTTTGTACTTGCAGATTTTGGAAGGTATAGAGCCGAAATAGCAAATATTGGAAAGGATGTGATTGCTCCTTACAAACATATGGTCCAGACAATAGGTGCTGACAACTCACCCTCTTTCAGACAACGCGATACATTAGTTTACTTTCAAGGGGCAATCTATCGAAAAGATGTGAGTCCCATATCTGCTTTTATATGCAACTGATGATTTAAATATTTGTTAATGATTTTTCTATTTTCCATGTCATAAAAGTTATGCTTTAATCTAATTACCTATAGGATAGCATGCATTACTTTGTGAGGCCCCATATATTTTTGGTGGCAGTGACACTTGAAAACTAGAGCCAGATAAAGTTTTCTTCTGTCTTGTTACCAAAAGTAATATTTGAATGAAATGGGTCCAAATGGAGCAAAATGGATAGTGAGGATTAATGTAGCCGAACTCTACTTGCTTGGATTTGAGATATAGTTTTTTGTTATCTAAAGTAGTTTCAGCAGCGTGAAAGAGTGGTATGCAGCCACAGCTTTTTGTTTTCAGACAAAGTAACATTGCTGTTTTGTACTCTATCATGCTTTATTCCCTTACTGGTTAATCGATTTGGGTTTTCACTTTGAACACCTATCGCATGTGCAGTTATATTCTGTGACCTGCCACCTCAATATATTGGTTTTGCTCTTAACTATAAGATTGGAATATAGTTCATACCGCATTTGAAACTAAAGTCCCTCTATCTTTTGCTTCAAGTATGATATATCTAGTAGATTTTGTTGGGCTAAAATGGCCCAAAGATACTCTTAACATGGTGCGATATTGTCCGATTTGAGCCAAGCCCGCACGGTTTTCCCCAAAAAGCCTCACACCATTAAGAGTATCCAACTCCTTATAAGTAGCTTATTTTTCTTTTCTACTTTCCATGTGGGACTTAGTTCACACACACCCAACAGATTTCTGATACCCTGTTCAGCATTCCAGAGTTGTTAATGTGTAGGAGTCACAAGGAAAAAATAGATCTTATTACCTTCTAAGATTTTCAAAGGGAAATGCAATAGAGGAATGGCCTGTCGAATGCAGAGAATGTGATATCACGAGCTCCGCCCAAAAGAGAAAAAAACAGTGAAAGCTAACAAACAGTAGATGATTAGGATTTGATGGCCCCTTATGTAGGCTGTGGATTGCCAATGACATTTACGGAAGTAACATAACTGAAATTTTCCTGTTTATGTCATTTGAAGCTCGAAAGGAGAATATTGATTGTTATGAGGTCAACTTGAAGTGATAGATCTTTTTTCTTGCTTATCTAATACCAGGGTGGGGAGATTCGTCAAAATTTATACTACCTTCTCAAAGATGAAAAAGATGTACACTTCACATTTGGAAGCATTCAAGCAAATGGTGTCAGGGAGGCTGGAAGAGGAATGGCGTCGTCCAAATTCTGCCTGAATATTGCTGGAGACACTCCCTCTTCAAATCGTCTCTTTGATGCCATTACTAGCCACTGTATTCCGGTTATAATTAGTGATGAGATTGAGCTACCATTTGAAGATGTTCTCGATTACTCAGAGTTCTGTGTGTTTGTAAATTCATCTGATGCTGTAAAGAAGGGCTACCTTCTGAACCTTCTTAGAGGAATGAAGGAAGATCAGTGGACCAAAATGTGGGAAAGGATAAAGGTGCTCAGCAAACATTTTGGATATCAATATCCATCCCAAACTGATGATGCAGTGGATATGATTTGGCAGGCAGTTTCAAGAAAGGTGTCATCTATGCGACTGAATGATCATCGTGACAAAAGATATCACAGGTCACAGCTTTTCCTCAAAGACCAGATGTCATGATTATTTATGTGAAATTTCTGAACATCATCCTGTAGTTCTTTTAGGAGATCAGCTGTCAGGTCGAGCTTGATTCTCTACTTTGTGGTATGAGAATATCTCTGTTTTTTCTTTTGTTGCCAATTTTCTTAACTTCTTGTAAATTCTTTTTTTATAATGACTGCAAATTTTGTACCACTCTCCTGCTAGATAACTATGCTTCTATTTAACCACCAGCATTACCCACTGAACATAACTGGAATATGATTCTCTAACTAGCATGTATAATAAACGAAAACCAGTAAGAGGAAGTCCTGACGAAAAGCACACTGCAATAGAGGTAGAGAATTGCCGGCAACAGCAACATCCAGACTATTCAATTTCATTATACACGAAGAAGTACTGATGCTTAAAAATAACATGATATCTATGTGGTCAGAAAATATGAAACATTTTTGTGTATAACAATGAGCATAAAATCCTAATGTCTTTCTGTGGTAGCTTTACATATCACATGAAGCTGCTGCTTTCAAGTAAAGACTTCTACCCAAACAAATGATAGTCATCAGTGTCACAAACCTTAAAAAAAAGAACTTCCGAGGATGCAGAATTGCCCACCACTCTCAAGTTTCTCTTAGAAAAATTACAAAAGACGGCAAGCTGTTCCTGCCCTTATGAATCTTGCTTTGGACACACTGTCAACACTTATTATGGATGGGATCTGATCCTCTTCTCACTCTTCTTTTGTTTGATTGATTTGGATCAAAGGTCATCGAAGGTGCAGGTGCTATATTCAGCTGCGTATGTAGGTCCTGCATTTCAGTAGCCTTAAGTATCCGAGAATTTCTCTGGAAAAATAACTTGCCTCCTCCCCATCTGAGAGCAAGATCTATACTTCTCAGAGCAGAAACTTCCTCTGGTTGAATTGACAAGAATCCAATACAAAGAATTAGGACAATCACCCTACAGGAAGGACACAACATTTTTCTGCACTTGGGGGGGGCAACAGAAGGAACAAAAGTGTTTTCTTGGCTGAGGTTATGATGAGAAAATAAGAGGTTTGTCTGTAGCTACACTCAGCATATCCTGCACAGAGTGCCTGTACATATAAACTTGTGTTTCATCTTTTATGGGATTTGCAAGACTAAAGGTACATAAAGCAGTGAGGGTCCCAAGACAAAACATATAGAGAAGTTTAAGATTCACTTCAATCATAAGCCTGTAATGCTGCAAGCAATATAAGGCTGTTTTAGAAGACACTGACAGGTTTGAATAAAAGTGAAGTTGGAACACCCATTCTTTAGAAGCCAAGAATCTATACATTTGTTCCCTACATCCCTTTCATGCTTTTTGCCCTTTTGGACCAAACAATGACCAAATCCAGTCTTTTGGACCTTATGCCAACTCATCTGCCAAGTCATCTAATTATAATTACTACTCCCTCCGTTTCAATTTAGATGAGATAGTTTGACTCAGCACGGAGTTTAATAAAAATAGAAGACTTGTGAAACTTGTGGTCTTAAAAGCATAAGAGGTAAAAACTTTTTGGGTCATGATATTTGTGTGGTTATAAAAGCTTCTCATTAAGGTTAAAATGAAGAGTTTAAAGTTGAATTATTTCTAAGAAATGTGTCATTTATTTTGGAACAGACTAAAAAGGAAAGTACCTCATCTAATTCGAAACGGAGGGAGTACTGCCTGTTCTTGAACCTCTAAGCATTTTAATTTTACAGTTTTACTAACAGCTTGACAAAGCCTAATTGTGAAACTGCTATTGCTTTGATAGTTTTACAATTTTTTTATGACAATAGTGGTGTTTGGGCTAGCTCGTATGTGGCTTTTGAGTATTATACTAGATATCTACAATCTTCGATCAACACATATACCGAGTAACTCTATCCATCAACATTTGGGCAAATGAGGTGGTAATGTTATAATTAAAAAGGGTTCAGGATTTACTCTTATAGGATTTTAATAATATATAGAAGGAGATGTCCCTACTACCAGAAGTTAATTAATGAGGAGGCCAAAGCTGAGATTGCAACAGTTGCAAGAAAGCCAGATAAAGCAGAGTATTGGGTAATGTGAAGAATAGAAGCCTCTTCAAAAATATAAATCCAAGGACTTACTTTATGCCAAATTCTACTTTAGATTTTAGAATTCCAAACTCAAAACAAAAATGACAGTCTTGGTTCCTTGTGCTTATTGAGTTTCTCTTTATGCTTTTCTTTGCTCTATCTTTAATTTAGATTGTGCAATTTCCCTCCATTCAAAAATTCTTAGGACCTCCTCTCTCCTACCCATTCTTGGCCTTGTCAAGCATATTATTCTTTTCTATCTTTATTTGTTCTTGCTTACCCATGTGGACCATCTCTTTCCTTCACTTTTCCTTTTTCCTTTTTCTTATTCGCAGATTCTGAATTTGTTCTTCTTTCATCTTGCCCGTTGTTATGTATTATCTCAATCCCATGAAAGAATTTGTTCCTTGCATATTAATAAGGTTCTCTCGATTAATGAATATGGGATGCTTACTTCAAAGTCCTACTTCACAAAAATAGGCCAAGTATTTCATGAGTACAATCAAGAGCTTTACTTTGGAAATATCTTAAAAAGTATCACAAAGAGCTTCCGCTGTAATATTTCATTTAAATATTTAAACAATTAGGAAATACTGAGTAAATATAAAAGTTTGAGTTCCGCTGAAGTTTCATTTAAGCAATTACAAAGACAATATCTATGTATTTATGAATATGCATATACACACTCCTTCCTCTTTTATTTGGCACAATTAGACATGAGTATGGAATTTAAGATGTTTAACCTGTCTAATTAATCATATCTCTATCAGCGTAGAAATAAAGAGCGGAGATATACATCACAAAGTCTAGGAAATTAACTAGCATGTCAATAACAGAAGCAATCCAGCTCAAATAATTACTACCAGTAAGGTGCCCAAACATAATACAGTAGAAACAATCACAAGTAAAAAAGCAACGGTAAATACTAATTAAGCGGGAGGAAGAGTAAACCATAATGGTAAAATATAAACAATGTACACGATGTGGAGATATGGTATCTCCAAATTGAAAGCTAAGTTGGCTACTATATTTTTTACATGTTCGTTCAAGCATTAATGAAAAATTGAACAAATGGAAAAAGTTTCATCCTCTGCACTCCAAATTTGGCAATGCAAAGATACAGCTAATAAATCGAAAAAGCAAAAAGGGAAAAGAATACTCCTCTACCCTTCTACTCATCCACCCATCTTGTGCAACTAACCAACAGTAAAATGCCCCTATCGGCAACGATTTTATAACAAGCAAACTGAACAAAGCCATTTATAATAGCTCTGGAGGAGGGGGTGTCGCCTGGGCGGTTGGTGTTGCAACATGAGTTGTTGGGTGTGCTGGTGTTGCTGAAGGTTCAGCTGCCTGTGCAGGTCCTGGTGCTATTGTTACATGCAAGCCCCTATGTTGCCCTGCCTGCAGCATGAAAGCAACTTCTGCTGCCGCAAGTGCTGTTGCCTCCTGCTTTGAAGAAAAGATTGAAGTATAAGCATCCGAAACTACACATGTGACATAATTACATCACAGATATACTGGTGCCCCTTTCATTTGCAGATTGTCTCAAAATGTTGTCCCACTACCTTAAGTGGAAAGTTCTAATAAATTCCAACTACTACAAGAAGTTCATGGGACTTATTTTTGCTATTTTCATTACTTCTTCCATCCCTCAATTTTGGCCTAGAGTATACTCTCAAAGGTCAAGCTGGCTAAGATTTAAACCATTTTAATGTGAAAAGGCTTGCAACCAAATAGAAACATTTATTAACCTTATCAGAAGTACAGCCATTCAGAAGGAGCATCACTTCTGAGCTTACATTAATTAATTTAAAATTGATTTGACCAGAATACAGTTTTTACAAAATAGGTAAGTTTTGGACAGATGGGAGAACAACATTTTCCTCTGTTTTTCTTCTTTTAACTCGATAATCTATGAAACTATAAGTTTCCCAAAAATTATCAAACAATTCAACTTTAACTCATTACAAAATAGAAAATGGACTATTGAATCCGAACGAAAGGAGTTACGAGTAAAAGTACTATGCAAAATCTCCTAACATAAATTCTTCTGCATTTAACAATCCAGGGAATAACAAAATGGGTCGGTCGAATAGAACACTTTGTGTTTCTAAGCGCGAGGCATTTTTGGGACCAAGACTATAAACAAATAATATAATACTTCCTCGTCTCATATTACTCGTTCGTGTTCAGTTTACAATGGTTGACTTAATAAATTTTTAATCTAACATTATACATTATACTTATTTGTCTCTGAAATTTGAAGTGCAAACTACATTTAAAGATCTACTAGTCACTGTTGGTTTCTTTTTTTCCCTTTTTTTAAATAGTTACTAATCACTGAATTTATTAATCCAGAAAAATCATTAAAAATAACTAAACATTATGTTGCAAGAATAATGTTGTTGACCCGTGAGTAGAAAGGGGGTCAACAAAAAGGGGGTGGGGTGGGGTGGGGACAGCAGTAGTAACAATTATCTGAACCTCCGAAAAATGAAATAAATTACTGGTGAAAAACAGACTCTAAAATCTGAACATTACATAGTCAATTTTGATGTATAAAAAAACCACTTAAACTCCATCACAAAATGAATGGGGGAGTTTGAAGCAGGAGGACCAAATAACTTTCTGTATGGTCTGAATAAAATTTACATACTTAAAAACAAAAAGTAATATAGATTGCAATATATAGAAAATACTAACAAATATTTAAGATGTTTGAAAATTTGTAATCAGAGAAAAAACTGCTTGATTTCCCAAACAGTACAAATTTCATATAAAATGGGATAGAAAAAAGCTACACTTGTTGTTTCTCAGAGTTAACTTTATATGCGCATGCTAGCCAGCATGCAAATAACTTCCATAGTTAGAGCAAGCAACGACACTTTCAAAATTTTAACATGCCATTAAATATTCTATTTTAATATTCTACTTAGTTCACACGATAAGACCAAATAAGTTCCAATACTTTATCTAATTCAAATTTACATAACTGTGTACAAAGTGCTGACATCTATCAGCAGAACCTACAAACTCACAACTGGAAGTAATAGTGGCTCCATCGCACTTGACATATAACCAATTATATATTGAACTTAAACCACAATCAACATAAAAGCAAAAAGTGGGCGGCCAAAGTATAAATCAGGAAAATAAAGGTATAGGCCATCAAATAAACTTGGATTTATTTGGAAGTTGGAAAGTGTAACAGTGAGTACAAATTTATTGGGGAAAGTACCAAAGAGCAAACAAGGTATTTCATTCATGCAAGAGAAATTCTTCAGTGAGCCAAATATTTTAGCATGGAATCTCGGCAAAATATATCCTTGCATGAGGTACTTCAGTCATGGAAGGGTGAACATGACTTCCGTTCCATTTTTTAGCGATAGCACGCTGGGCCTCTATCGATGTACTAAACTAGGAGTGGAGGTCTTAAATGTTTCTCCAAAGGTCCACTGAGTTCCCATAAACTAGGGCAAAGATCCAAGTAACTCAGCCAAAATTTATTACATACATGTGCACGGATACAGCGTTTGTCAACCATTACAAGAACTAAACAAAAATTTATCTGATCTGCACCACAGGAATTTTCCATTTTACAAAACATGCAGCGTATCATCATATTAGCAAGAATGAAGATTGACATGTTAATAGCTATTTATAGATAACGAGAAACAAAAGAAATCTCTAAGGCTCTAACCTGTCTTTGCCTTCGACGCTGCATGATACTGATAGCCCATGCCATGATGTAGCAAGGTAGAAGGAAACCAGCCGCGCGGAGCAAGAAAAGCTGTATCAAAAATTGACCAGATCAGTAATCCCACATGATCTAATGTGTCATAGACTCATCATAGCAAGCAAAAATAGCAAGATGATTTCACTGTATGATTTACTCACAGAGAAAAAGGTGGAAACATCATCATCATCCCCATCATCATTTCCGATGGTCACAGCATGCCTCAATAATAGAAGGGCCATTAACTGCATGGGAACAGTGTGCAATATTCTTTTGAGTATCTAGAAACCAAGAATAAAGATAGATTGCATGGGTAAAACAAAAGGAAAATATTGAAAGCAAATTTTTTGTTATCAACATGTCTTAAAGATTTTTCCCTAGTTTCTCCATTTTCATACTGGGAAGAACTTTTACAAGTGTAGACAATAAAGTGAAGGTCATTTCTTATCAATTCAACCAGCGGAAAGGACAAGAGGATAATACAATGAAGGAAGTGAATATAAGCAGATAAGAGGAAAGCAAAAGCAAGAAATGTAGCATGAGGCCCCGAATAGCCCTCTTTCTCTTACTATGAACTGCAGTTTCAAGAACTTGCAGGAAAATCATTGTAACATGAGTATGAAAATATAAACAACATAGGTGCGGAATGAGTAATTTTTTTTTTTCGGGTGATGGCAAGGGCGAGTTGACATTATTTTCCATTATTGAGCATTCCTTACATATGCCTCCTATAAAGGAAGATTCTCATTTTCAAGGAGGGAGGATCACAAAGTTGTGGCCCAAAAATTTTTATCACCACTTCTCTTCCAATGAACTCTTAATTTTCTCAAGTCAGCATTGTGTCACCACTTATAGATGAAAATTCATGTATCAAACGGTAAAGTTATACCCCACCTCCACCCCAAAAGAGAATTCTGAATCTGCCTTCTTTTCTTTTTTTTTTTTCCTTTTTTTGATAAATAAGAATTCTCTATCTGCTGATGCGCATTATCTTCCACATGAAATATAATAATGCATACCCCACATCTCCACTCTTGCACTTCTCAAAAATGATTAATAACATAAGGGAACAGCAGCTGCTTACAATTAAAGCAGCAGAACGACAAAATGCAGCTCCACTAGCACTTGAATCAGCATACTCGTCATAGTCAGCCTCCAAGAGATGGCGCTCTGCGGCTGCCATTGCAAGAAGCTGAGGATCATGCAAGTCAAGCTGAGCACCAGCCACTGTCCATCCCCCACTGCACGGCAAAACCATGTAGACGAATCCATCAGCGACAGAGAAGACAGAAAAGAAAATTTTCAAGATTAAGATTGCGAGGAGACATGCTGATCATGTTGGATGCCCTCACTGAAGATGTTAACAGCTAAACTGGCACCAAAGAAAATGGTCCATCAGAATTTCACCCAAATTTTCAGTAACAAGGGCCTTCATATAGTGGTTGAAAACTGACTGCCCAAAAATATAATGAGCTTAACATGTTTTAAGTACGTCCAAAATAAGGGTAAATGTCTTTATGGCCAGTTCAGATTGTCGTTGGTCTAATGGACAATAATCTTCACGTCAATGATGCTAAATTTCAACTTTACCCAGGAACATATACTTGGAAGAAAAAAGAGCCGCAGACATATACAATTACATGATATCAAAGAGCAAAAATATACCGGGAACAGGAATCATCACTAGATATTGAAAACAATTGGTAATGCAAAGTCAGTTCATAGTCATATAACATACATAAAGATACAAATAATCAAAGGTGTGAGCACAACAGCAGTAAGATCGTCCGTTTCACGGGCTACTTCCTCTCTTTTCATTTCTTTTTCTTTTTAGGGAAGTGGGGGTAGTGTCAGAGTATAGAAATGATACAGCTATCAACATACTTTGAAAAGCAAACACCAAAATCAGAAGATCAATGTCTCTATTCCGTAGATCGAGAAATGCTGGGGAAAATGAATCAAATTTGGCATGCACAAAGACAATAATAATGATTTAAACCAACCTGATGTCAATGGCAATATCTTCAGAAGGAGAAGGCGGTGGTGGAGCGGTATATCCAGGCTGGTAAGACTGCAGGTTACAAAGTTTCCAAGTCAGCATATAACTTTGTCTGAAACAAGTGAGCCTGAACTAGAAACTCCTTCAGCACGTATTCACGAACATACAGTTTTGTGATTCTAATTTCTAAAGTCCCACTTACTTAAATTTCTGAAGGGGAAATGCATCAATGAATTACGGCCTAAGGTGAGTTATCACTCTCTCCAAATCAAATAAACTGAATGTGCAAAGCCATCATGAAGCATCATCACTCAAAATGCAAACAGGTATTAACAGGTAGAACAAAGTACCTGATGGCAAATCTCGCAAATTATATCACCCTTCTCATTGCACCAACGCTGAACACATTTCCTATGAGCATACTGCATTTTGTAGTTAAGTCGCCGACAGGAATTGAAAGCCAAAAAAAAAAAAAGAATAATTAGAATCAAATAAGGTCCACACACATATAAAAGATCTTTTGTCATGCAGTTGCAGCACATCCGGATAAACACATGACCGTCAATTATTCAAAGGTTTTGGACTCTAAGCAAATTCTAGAGAAGTTATAAGAACTACGGAAAGTTTGAAAAAAACAATGAAGACTGGTCAAAGGAAAAACATTCTTCAGCTTTCTAAAGTCAGTAAACCACCATACTTTTCACAAACAAGTAAAAATAAAAAAAGTGACACTTAGCTAGGATGAAAGACATGAACGATAAGTTCTTGAGAAGAGTAACTTGAATACTAGCACCATTCAGGCTTAGGAAAAAAGAAGATGACACTATAAATATACATTTATTACATGCAAAAGCAGCATCAAGCTCAATGTTTAGTAGCTAATTGACCAAGTGGCCAAATACTTCACAAACATACCTTTAAGCTGCCATTGCAGCCACAAGGGATCTCCAAATTCTTAGTGCTATCTTCTTCCTGGCAAATTCTGCATTCCACAGTCTGAAGTAATGGCTCATCTTCACCTCCAGCTTCTGGTTCTTCATCCTCCTTATTAGCAGTACCATAGGTTGATTGACTTACTGTGTGAGAGCAAGAACTTCCTGCCGAGGATCCTGCATCATCTGACCCTTGCAGAGAGTGCAAAGATTCAGGTGTGATAAGACGATCAACACATAGAGCCAAGTGTTCTCCCATTAGCAGTTCACCTACGTATCTTTAAAATGAACAAACATGGTCAGCCAGCTTTAGCTAAAAGAGAAGAAAGGGAAAATAATTAAGTCACAAAACACAAATGTCAGCTCAATCAACATATATAAGAGCACTATCCCTATTGGTTTCCTGGATCCTTCGGATAGCCCTAGAGACTTTTTTGTTAAACTCATATGCAGAGCCAGGATTTAAAGCTTATAAGTATGATATTCTAGTCCTTTTAAGTTATTGCGTTTTAAATTAATAATTTATACAAATTCAATGAATTTCTTAAGATAATAAGAGGGTTTTGGCTCAAAGTTACTGGGTCGGCCAAACCAGTCACCGATACACTGGCTCCGCCCCAGGTTAAACTTCATATGGCTTAGTGCAAAGTTTTAACGACTTTCTGGCCATAATAATAGAACTCTTACAACTCAGTAAAAGGAACTATCAAAAGACAAGGGAAACAGTTCATAAAAATCATACACCCTCCGCTCCAGTTTATGTGAACATATTTCCTTTTTAGTCTGTTCCAAAAAGAATGACCCCTTTCTAAATTTGGAAACAATTTAGCTTAAATTCCCAATTCTACCCTTAGTGAGAAGCATTTATAATCACACAAATATTGTGGACCCCCTTTTTGAGTTGTTTAGGACCACAAATTCCAAAAGTCTTTCATTTTTTCTTAAACTCCGTGCCCAGTCAAACAGGTTCACATAAATTGGAGCAGAGGGAGTATGATTTACTTCCCTACAAGTTTCTTCTCACAAGGTTCAGCCTCCTGTCCATTGGTACAAAGACCGAAATGCCACATTACTTCAAAGAATTTGGATATTGAAGTTCGAATTGTCAACAAATAGATTTTCCAAACGCAACAAAAGCAAAAGTACAATCAAGAGGTATGGCCTTTACTATTAAAATCAACTGTGAACTAACTACTAATCTTTTCTTTGAATTTTCTTTTTCTTTTTAGGATAGGTAACAAACTATGAGCATAGGAAAGTCAATTCAGGGATTTTTTCAAGTAGAGTTGAGCTCTTCAACACAAAAGTGGAGGCTTTCTACTAAACTGAGACCATATACCCCAAAAAACTACCCTTTAATTGGAAATACTGAAGCAAAATGCGTTTAACGAACTTTCCTGCCTTTCCAATTTTTTCTCTTACCATATACGGGGTAAAATTTTCTAAAACGGAACCAAGTTTGAAAATTACCAACTTTGACGATCAAAACATAAGCAACAATTTCTATTTCATCAATTGGATTATAAACGAAGCCAGAAACCAGAAAACCTAACCAATTGACTCACCGTAATAAAAATCTTGAACAAAAAAATATAGGGAAAACAAAATAGAGGAAACAATAGAATTTTGAGGTACCTGAAAATGCAATTCTCGATGGATTTTGGTTCTCTGAGAGAAGCTAATGAATATGTATGAGTGTTTTCTGAGAGAAGAAATAGTCGTTTTTGGTTTTGAGCTTTGCTTGCAAATTGGACAGCAATTTGATTATGAAAATAGAGTAACGTATAAAAGTCTTCTCTGGATTATATAGATTTTATTAAGTAGATATTACTAGACAAATTCATCAATGTTGCGGGACCGCTTAAACTACAACGACGTCGTTTAAGGACGTCCAATTCCAAATGACTCCTTTAATAGCCGGCATCCAAGAAGTTACTCTGCTATTAACTCTGTAATTTTATGCATATAAATTGTTATTAATTGACAATTATTAAGTCAATGTATTCTTATTTTAATAAATGCCATATTTAGAATAAAATTATTCCGCAATTGGAAACCTATGGGAACCAATGGTCGCAATTGCGAACTATAAGTCGCAAATATAAGTTAAAATAAGTAATGTATAAGAGTGCAAATAAATATTTTTTCAAGTAAGTGAAAACTTACCACCGTTTTGGTCTTTTGGTTAGGGTCAATTGTTTGACTTTCAAAAATTTAACTTTTGTGATTGCTTAGACCAAACAAAAACATGACGACTACAACAAAGAAATTAATTAACAAAAATTTCCACGCGCAAAGCCACACTATTTGTCCACGTTGGTATGAAAGAGGTTATTAGAGAAACATTCATCATCAAGGAAAGAAAAAGATGCAAAAGTGTAATTGCTTTTGTCGTTTGAGATGGATGTGTTATAAAGACTTGGTAGAAGAGCTTTGTAAAAGGGGGTAGGTAATTATTCAAATGAGTTTTGGTTAGACAGATAAAGATAATGGACATTCCATTCTCTCATGGTTTCTAGAAGACATATTATGTAGGTAATAGGCAGGTAACAAATCAAAAAGATCTTATATTAGATACTTTTGTTATGATTTTCACCATCTCAAATCCACTTTGAAAGAATATGGACCTGCCATGTACTACTCATTCCATCCTTATTTATGTGATTTTGTTTTATTACGGAATTTAGAAAGAAAAAAAAAATACTTTTGAAACTTAACGTCTACAACAAGCAATTATAGATCATCTTATTAATTGTAAAATGATGTTTTAAGATATATATATATATATATATATATATATATATATATATATATAAAATTTAGGACAGACTAACAAGAAAAATACATCAAAAAATTAAAAAGAGGAAGTATTGTTATTCTATGTATCATTAAATTGAACTAGTCTTACGATACGCGATTTGCGTATGTACCCATGTCAATGAGTATAGAATTTTTTACACAAACATATTTATTAAATATTATGTTCGTCTAAAAAGAATAAAAATAAAAAATATAAGTTTCTAAAAATAATAAATCTTGATCCTTCCACCTCAATGCCCCAGACGTACGCCTGGTATGCGCCCAACGCCTTGCGCATAAGCTCGTTGATCACGCCCAACTCTAGTCCTAAAAAAAAATAAGCGGTCGCTGCAAATATAATCCGGTCTAAGAGTCCGGAGTCGAATCTCACATAGAACTAAGGTTTTGCTATAACTGTTCAATATCACTAAGAAGACAAGCTCGAATAAATTCCTAAGTTATAAAGATAAAGATTCTTATATCTAACTAATTAACTAACAAATTAAAGTAGTAAATTAAACTAAAGATACTAAGGGTTGGAGACAAGATGAAGGAGGCCTAGAGTTATGATTTCTCCAATTGTCGAAATCCTTCCTGCTATGTCTCCTACAATTTTGATTAAGTATTCTCTACTGATCATGAGGACTCGACTTATCGTAATTCTCTCTCAAGCAACTACAATAATTTACTAGTCATATTATCTCGAATTACGCAAGCTCGCACTCTTTCTTCTCTCATTATGATCACGTCAAAGCTTCATTATCTCTAATCGCGCTTTTAAACCCGTTGTATTGATCTCATATACGTTAGGAGTGACGTTGTTCAACAAGCACCTAATATGTATTCTTTCTCAAGTAACACATAATAAATAGGCACAGTCAATCGATTGCCATTCATTCAACTGAAATAAGCACGTAGTTGTACATATTTTTGGGCTAGCCTGAAATCAAGACTTCAAAGAACAAGCGTAAAATATAGTGTGCTATGAAGATTCGTATCAAATCACCACTATTATCCTTAGCTCCACGATGGGCGCCAAACTGTTTACCCCAAAATCGGGTGACAATTGAATTTGTATGTGGTTTTAAGGATATATGATTTAATCCAATACGAACAATTAAGAATATCAAAGTAAATGGTTAGGAATGAAATAAACATTCAAACCAGTTGCAATACTATGATCAAGCCTGAATTTAGATTGAACAATGACCTTGCCTCGATTGGACCCTTGGTTCGAGCTCGGTCGTGAATGAAGAACAGGATAAGTGAATAAGAACTTTAACAGTAGCTAGAAAGATAGAAAGTAAGCTTGTATTAATTTGATTTGCCTGTTACAATGTATCTTACAAAAGAAAAACTTCCCCTTTATATAGTAGGGGAGTTTCATCCCTAGTATAAGTCTAAAAAAGATAAAAATCTTCCCTACCTAGTAATTACTGATCCATAACCGTCATTGAGCGAGATCCACGCCGTGATATCCGGTTGGGTGCGAACATCATGGCCCTCTATTCGTAACATCTCACCGTGTTTCCCAAAGTCTTAGAACTCATTCTTGTCTCGGGATGCGTCGCTTTACCGTGCCCGAGGTCAAGCACACCGTTTATTCTACCTGGATCTCGATACGAAGAGTTTTTATCCTCGACTACAATCTAGTGCGTCCGTGCCCTTCCTCCGTTTTCTCACCGGGAAATCGGGGTAGATGTTACCCCCGATTCTACCCGTACACATATAGTCCCCTCATTTTCCGAAGAGTAGGTTTACTGAAACGATGGGAAGTGATAGATAAACCCCGGTTCCTTCCTTCGTACGTTACAACCGAGATGACGGGTAAATCGAAACATCCCATCAGTCGCGTCGTTCTGACTTCGAACACGTGTCAGTCACCGGTTGACTGTCCTCAAATGCGAAACATCGCGCACTGGTTGTTTTCCCCTATAAAAGCTTCGGCCTTTATTCACTTCTTCCACTTTCTGATTACAAAATTTACCCTCGAACTTTCTAATATGCTTTTAACTCCTCCAAATCTTCATATATTGGTCCTTGAACCTTCATATCTCCATCTTCAATCCTCATACATTTTCTTTGGATCTCCAACCCAGACCTTCATACCATCTTCAAATCTTCATATTTTTCTTCAAACCTTCATATTTTTCTTCAAACCTCCATACGTCCCAGATTACGATGGCAAAAACCTCCAAGTTGGTGCCTCAGCAGGTTGCTCTTTCATCTTCCAACCTGGTCACGGGTGCCGAGGTGGCTGTCCCCGAGGTGGATCAAGAGCCCCCCATGAAGAGCTTCGTACCTGGGGGTTGTTTTATCAGGAACGACTTCCTCTTCGAGAAGGCCTCTAATCAACAGGACTGAGCCGAGGGAGCATGGAGATACGTATGCTCCGTTATTGAGGAAACACTACCCATAGTCCGAGCTGACTGTAACTGGGAGGGTAAAGAAGTGGTCGTCCCCAGGCCTAATGACGACATCACTACCACGTGGAGGGGTACTTAAGTGTTTACACTTACCCCTTCACGCTTGCCCCGGTGGACCCATCCTTGCCTTCTGCAAAAGGTACGAGGTGTGCCTTGGGCAAATCTACCCGTATTTCTGGAGGATCATGATCCTCTTACGACATTTTGTTAATAATATTGAAGCCCCTCGGTTCACCCTCAATCAGCTACTTCGCCTGTACAGTCCCTGAATCTTCCGATAGGGAATGATCAAGCTCGTTCACTAAGCGAGCAAGGCTCCATTCTCGAGCATCGACAAGGACCGAGAGCGAGGTTGGCAGGGGAGGTTCGTTCGGGTGAAGACCGAAGACCTCATTCCCTCCAAATTTCTACCATTCCCGAAAAAGTGGAATGCATCCCGTAAGTATTTTCCTTCTCGAGTATTTGTCCTTTCCTTTCGTTCTTCCTCCCATTGCTTATGTTTGTTGTTGTACAGTTGTTTCCAAGTTCCCAATACAGTTCCCCGCTTCAAGGAGTTGGTTGAGGAGATCTGCAAATAGACTCCATATTCCGAGCGCGCATGGCGACAGCTCTCGAAGGCAAATGGGAGGCTCATTCCCATAGTGAGGCCCCTTTTCGAATAGTTACTATCGTACTTGTGGCTTACGCATTGCTAAGTCTCCTTTTTTCTTACAGGTTTGTCCAAGACCACCGAACTCAGGCTGTTAGGTGAGGATGAGGATCCGTCCTTGCTTGCCGAACCCTCCGCTCTGGGACAGCCCGGGGATGCCGTAAAGGAGGAGAAGAAGAAGAAGAAGAAGAAGAGGAAGAAGAAGAAGAGGAAGAAGAAGAAAAGAAAGTCCTCGGGTTCCCCGGATGTTGAGGCGAGGAAGAAGAAAGTGACCATCCGGATCAAGAAAATCAAAAAGAGCGCCAAATCCAGGGTACCAGATTCTTATTCCCTCTACCGGCTCAGGGACAAGCCCGAGGACGACGACCTTTTTATTGCTCATGGATCGACCCTTAACAAGGGGGAGCGGGCAGCACTCAAGAAAGGCGACCAAGATGTAGATCCCCCTCTAGTTCGGGAACCAGAAGGAGAGACGAAGGTTGCGGCGTCTCGGGAAGCTGCTCATGTCCCGAAAGAGGTAGTCGGTGTTATTGACATCGTAGAAACACCTTCCTACATCGATTCCATGCTTGAAGAGGCCCAAAAGGGCAAAGATAAGTCAAGGGAGATGGCACAGGGCCCAGACGACACCCTCAACACGTTCTTTGATGACATGGATATGGCCGCACTGGAGGACTTTTTCGGGCTTGGACACCTGGAGGTCACAAAAAAGGATGTTCTATCGGGGGTGGGCGAGCCGAGTTCAAGCCCAAAACTAGTGAAGCAATTCCCCGCTCCGAGTGTGGACCCCGAGCGTAAGAGGACGGTCGTTCTTATAGTCCTGGCAGACGCCCGAGTTCTATCCGCTCCGATGGGCATAGCCATCTACCTTCAATGCCCAATGACCGAGGAGGCTCAGGCAAAGATGAATGAAGTGGGCAC